GGCCAGAGCGCGGCTTTAGCTGCTTCAGAGGGGGCGATATTTTGGAATTCTTGACGCTTCGCGTATCCCCACCAGTCCAGAAACGATGTCCAGGCACGTTGAAGAGATCAGGGAAGTAGGGGAGCAACGAGAGGGACAGCCGATCCGTGCAAAGGATGAGGCGGAAGGGGAGGCCAGATGGATAGATGAGGGGGTGGCGAGGAACCGAGCGAAGGAGGGATGAGGAGAATGATGACGCTGGGTGGATGGTTGAATGCCGCTCGGATGCCTCTTGGAAGCCTTTTGGAAGCCTCTTCGGGCGTCTTGGGGGTCTCTTGGCGGTCAATGGGTGCTCTTGGGCGTCTTGGGTGCTTCGGGGGGGCCTCTTGAGGCCGCTTGGGATCCTCCTGGGGGGCTCTTGGGGGCCTGTTGGAGGCCTCTTGGGGCCTCTTGGGGGTCTCTTGGAGCTTCATGGCGGCCTCGTGGAGCTTCTTGGAGGCCTCTTGGACCCATCCTGGGAGCCTCTTGGAGCCTCTTGGGGGCTTCTTGGGGCCTCATGGCGGCCTCTTGGGGCCTCTTGGAGGCCTCTTGGAAGCCTCTTGGGGCCTCCTGGGCGCCCTTTGGGGCCATCTTGGAAGCGATCGATCAAAGAAGGAGGGTCCGGATTCGCCCCGCCCCCCTAAGAGGCCAAAATGGGGCCAAAACCCTAGTACAACCTATGATTTTGGTTTCCTCGCCGAGGCCGTTTTGGACGCCCTGACCACCGAAGGTCCCAGCGGGTGTGCCCGCATGCGTCCCGCGCACCCACTTCGGCACACCCATCACACGTTTCGTGGCCCCATACAGAGCTCCACCGAAGGTCCCAGTGGGTGTGCCCGCATGCGTCCCGCACACCCATTTCGGCCCCTCCCTCGCACGTTTCGTGGCCCCGCAGGGAGCTCCACCGAAGGTCCCAGTGGGTGTGCCCGCATGCGTCCCGCACACCCATTTCGGCACACCCCTCACACGTTTCGTGGCCCCGTGGGGAGCTCCACCGAAGGTCCCAGTGGGTGCCATTTCGGCACACCCTTCACACGTTTCGTGGCCCCATCGGGAGCTCCACCGAAGGTCCCAGTGGGTGTGCCCGCATGCGTCCTGCACACCCATCTCGGCACACCCCCCACACGTTTCGTGGCCCCATAGGGAGCTCCACCGAAGGTCCCAGTGGGTGTGCCAGCTTGCGTCCCGCACACTCATGTCGGCCCATCCCGCGCACGTTTCGTGGCCCCATACAGAGCTCCACGGAAGGTCCCAGTGGGTGTGCCCGCATGCGTCCCGCACACCCATGTCGGCACACCCCTCACACGTTTCATGGCCCCAGAGGGAGCTCCACCGAAAGTCCCAGTGGGTGTGCCCGCATGCGCCCCGCACGCCCATTTCGGCACACCCCTCGCACGTTTACCCGCGAGGCCTGACCCGAGGACCGGCCCGCCACATCCGCGCCTTCTCTCGGCTGTCCAACTGTTTGGCCTCGCGCCGCGGACGCCCTGCGCGCGTCGCTGGGACCCTCTCGGGGCGATCTGCGCGCGTCGCGCGAACTCCGCGCTGCGCTCTGTCCAGCGCCTCGCTCGCCCGTCGTCGCTCCGCCAGGCGGCCAGAGCCATGCGCGCTATCAGTTAGCCAGCAAGCAACCTCTGTTCCACACAGCGTACGAACCGTGCGCGTCACTGTGACCCCTTCCTGGCGACCTGCGCGCATCGCGAGGGCTCCGCCTTGCGCTGCGCCCGCAGCCTTGGACTTTGGAGTGCGCGGGCAAATGAAAAGGAAAAAGGAGGGGAGGAAGCGGGCGCGATCCTCGTGTGGGGCGTGCCGACGTGGGCGTCGCGGCGCGCGGGCGCTGCCGTCGGGGTTCCCAGGGAAGCCCCCTGCAGAGGCTACGCCACACAATTCGGCACACCTTCATACAGTTCGTGGCCCCATAGGGAGCGCAACCGAAGAAGATATTCACAATTGCGGTACTCACGACCGCATATGATTCGGTCCTTCGCCCGTGTTTTTTTTTTTTTTTTTTTTTTTTTTTTTTTTTTTTTTTTTTTTTTTTTTTTTTGTTTTTTTTGGTTGTTTCCTCCCCCCCCCTTCCTCGCTCGCCCCCTGTTCGGCCGCCCCCGCGATCAGCGCGCGCGAGCGCCATTTTTTCGCAGGTCCAGGCGGACTTCCTGCCGTCGGCGCCGGACGCCCCCCCCCTGTGGTGGCGCCTGCGGCGCCGGCCATGAGAGATCCTCGCAGGCCGCTAAGATTCTATAGTCATGCAGTCGTTTTTTTCTTCCAGTCAACCTGTGGTGTTGGGACCTCGTTTTGAAGAGACAGCGCCCCGCGTCTCCTCCTCTCTCCTCTCCTCTCCCCTCTCCTCTCTCCTCTCTCCTCTCCTCTCTCCTCTCTCCTCTCTCCTCTCTCCTCGCTCCTCGCTCCTCGCTCGTCCTCGCCTCTCCTCTCCTCTCCTCCTCTCCTCTCTCTCTCCTTTCCTCTTACTCACCTCCCTCCTTTCCTCTCCTCTCCTCTCCTCCTCTCCTCTCCTCTCCTCTCCTCCTCTCCTTTCCTTTCCTCTTCTCCTCTCCTCTCCTCTCCTTTCCTCTCCTCTCTCTCCTCTCCTCTCTCTCTCTCTCCTCTCTCTCTCTTATTTTCTCTCTCCTCTTCCTCTCTCCCTCTTCCTCGCTCCTCGTCGTCTCCTCTCCTCTCCTCTCCTCTCCTCTCCTCTCCTCTCCTCTCCTCTCCTCTCCTCTCCTCTCCTCCTCCTCTCCTCTCCTCTCCTCTCCTCTCCCCTCCTTCTTCTCTCCTCTCTCTCTCCTCTCCTCTCCTCTCCTTGCTCTCCTCTTCTCTCCTTCCCTCTCCTCTCCTCTCCTCTCTCCTCCTTCCTCTCCTTCTCCCTCTTCCTCCTCTCCTCTCCTCTCCTCGTCTCCTCTCCTAATGTCCTCTCCTCCTCTCCTCTCTTCTTCCTCTCCTCTACAATTATTCAACATGAATACTACTCTCCCTCTTCCCCTGATGACGTGCTGGGAGTGTTCGCCCCCCCCCCCCCCCCCGCGTACTGTTTTTTACACACAGGATTCCCGGGAGTTGGGTTTTCGCGTGCATGTTTTTCCAAGATGCTGCTCTCGCTGAGGCACTGGCTTCGTTTTCGGGCCCCGCTTGTTCCGAATCGTGCTCCCGCTGCAGCGTGGATCTCATGTTCGGATCGGTGTTTTGCCTCCGTCGTTCAGGATGGCGTTCTCGCCCCAGCGCGGGCCTCTTTCTCGCGCGCCCGTCCGCCCGCCACCACCGCCCCGCGCCCCGCTTCGCCCACCGCCACTTCCACCCACCAACGCACGCACGCACGCACGCGCACCGCCACCACCACCCCACTACCCCACCCACCACCACCACGCTACACCGCGTCACACCACATCACACGCGCGCACACAGACACACACGCACGCACACACACACACACATACACACGCACACACACAGACACACACCACCACCACCACCGCCACCACCACCACCGCCATCACGCACGCACGCACCTGGCCCACCACCAAACCACCAAGACGCCACACCACGTCACACCACAGCACACGCGCACACACGCACACACACACCACCACCACCACCACCACCACCACCACCACCACCACCACCACCACCACCACCACCACCACAACCACAACCATAACCATAACCACAACCACGCACACACGCACGCACGCACGCGCACCACCACCCACTACGCACGCGCGCGCGCGGAGCCACAGGTCCGCTACGACACGCGTCCGCGGATAGAGAAAATCAGCGCCATGGTAAGGGATGGGAAGGAGGGGTAGGACGTCAGATATGACGCGAGCGCACATAGCTTGCCCTCTCCCTCTCCTCTCCCTTCCTCCCCTCTCCTCTCCTCCTCCTTCTCCTCGTCGTCCTCCTCCTCCTCCTCTCTTCCTCCTCCTCCCCTCTCCTCCCCCTCCTCCTCCCCTCCTCCTCCTCCTCCTTCTCTCCCCTCTCTCCTCTCATCTCTCCTCTCCTCTCCTCTCCTCTCTCTCCTCTCCTCTCCTATCTCCTCTCCTCTCCTCTTCTCTCCTCTCCTCTCCTCTCCTCTCCTCTCCTCTCCTCTCCTCTCCTCTCCTCTCCTCTCCTCTCCTTGTTCTCTCTATCACTCTCTCTCCTCCTCCTCTCCTCCCTCTCTCTCTCTCCTCTCTCCTCCTCTCCTCTCCTCTCCCCTCTCCTTTCCTCCTCTTCCTCTCCTCTCTCCTCTCCTCCTCCTCTCTCCTCTCCTCCTCTCTTTGGCTCTCCTCTTCTCTCCTTTCCTCTCGTCTCCTCTCCTCCTCCTCCTCCTCCTCCTCCTCCTCCTTCTCCTCCTCCTCCTCCTCTCCTCCTCCTCCCTCCTCCTCCCCTCCCCCTCCTCCTCCCCTCCCTCCTCCTCCTCCTCCTCCTCCTCTCTCCTCCTCCTCCTCCTCCTCCTTCTCCTTCTCCTCCTCCACAATTTCTCAATATGAATACTACTCTCCTCCTTCCCCTGTTGACGGGTTGGGATTGTTCCCTCCCCCCCCCACCGCGTATTATTTTTTCCACACAGGATTCCCCAGAGTTGGGTTTTCGCTTGATTTTTTTTTTTTTTTTTTTCTTCAAAATGCTGCTCTCGCTGAGGCGCCGGCCTCATTTTCGGGCCCCGCTTGTTCCGAATCGTGCTCCCGCTGCAGCGCTGGCATCATTTCCGTGCTTCCGCTCGTTCCGAGTCGTGCTCCCGCTGCAGCGCTGGCCTCGTTTCCGCGCTTCCGCTCGTTCCGAATCGTGCTCCCGCTGCAGCGTTGGCGTCATTTCCCGTGCCATGCCACGGCATGCAATGCAATGCAATGCTAGGTTGCGTTCCGCCGCGCGATGCCATGCCTTCAGCTGAAGCTGTGATATGCAGTGCTTCAGTGCCACGTCGTGCTATTCCATTCTACGCTTTGATCTTCAACGCCATGCTATGCAATGTTATGTTCGGAGCCGCTGTGCGATGCCATGCTTTG